TAGTTTTGAACTGCTGACCCTGAGATTAGCAGCCCGATTCGTAACCACTACACTACCAGAGCTCCTCTGAACTACCTTAGAGATGATCAAAATTATGCTGAATCTCTAAAGGCAAAATATTTGACTAAATACACATATTAATTACTATGTACTTAATTGTTTCCCCCTGCAATAAAAATACACTGAAGTTCTAATCTCTGTAAATGACCTTGTTTGGAGAATTAAAAAAAATGTTTGTGTGTCTTGCAGATGTTATCAGTTACATTAATGAAGTCATATTAGAGTGAATGGAGTCTTAATCTTAATCCTATATAATGATGATTCATCAAAGAAGTGAAACAAAACATTCTTACACATAGGAGAAAACAGCATGTGAGGATTTGTCTATAAACCAAGGAACTTTAAGAAATATCTGGAAAAAACAAACAAGATGGAGGAGAGGGTGGAAATGCAGTGAAGAGCTCTGTCAGCAACAACACAAAATACCAGACCAAGCAGACTCAGGGGATGGTACCAGATGTCTGAACCACATATAAAGGAATATTTAGAAGTTTAGAAGGCTTATAGCTAGGGGAACTTGTATCAGAAACAAGAAATCCATTGTTTTCTAATTCAAGACTCTCAGCTGCTCCCAGAGCTGCCATCTTGGGCAAGACCAAGCAAGGGCACGATCAGAGCAGCCAGGGACACCTGACAGAACCGCAGAGATAAAGGAAGAAGAGTGAAAAGGGAAGCCCATCTCCTGATCACATCTACCTAGAGGAAAGCAGAAAGCATAAAAAATATCAAAATACATACCCATCTAAGTATTAAGGCCACAGATAACTCCTGAATATGCCCAAAAAACAGAAATAGATGACCATATCGGCACATGGCCAGAAACAAGATAAAGTGACTGAGGCAAATGAGCTGGAAGTAGACCTACACTCCATACTAGAAGATGTGCAGGCTTTAGAAATGCCTTAGAAGGAATTCATAAAAATGATTATAAAATGTTTCAAAACACTATACAATGGAGTTGAGAAAAATAAAGAAGTCAGGAAAGTACTAAAGGAACAATCAAATAAGATAGATACAGCATTGGAAACAATTCAAAACCTAAAGAAAGAGGTCCAAACGATTACTAAGAGAATATCAGAAATGGACAATACACTGAAATGGCAAAGGTGTAGAATTGAAGAGACAGAAGCCAAACTAGTGAGTTAGAAGATAAATCTCTTAACACTACTAAGATATAAGAGCAAACACAAAAAAGGATAAAAAAATCTGAAGAAGGTCTAAGATTTATATTGGGCAACATGAAGAGGAATAACTTAAGAATTAATGGCATTCTGGAACAAGAAGAATCACACAAGCCCACAGAGGAGATAGTTGAAGAGCTTCTTGAAGAAAACTTACCTAACATCCTGAAAAGTGAAAAGATAAGCATTCAAGAAGCTCAATGAACCCCGGGAAGGATAGACCCTAAAAGACAATCACCAAGACATATAATCACCATGCTCTCCAAAATCAAAGATAAGAATAGAATCCTGAAAACAGCTAGTGAAAAAAGAAGTGTAACATACAAAAAAGCAGGCAAATCAGATTAAGTGCAGATCTCTAAACAAAAACCATGCAGGCAAGAAGGCAATGGGGAGACATATATAAATCTCTGAAAGAAAAAAAACTGCCACACAAGAATCCTCTACCCAGCTAAGCTGTCAGTCAAATATGATGCTGTAATCAAAACATTCCAGGATAAACAGAATCTAAGGGATTTTTTCCAACCCTGGGATGGAAAACATCCTCAAGGAAGTTGTGGACTGAGAACCAACAAGAAGAGACAACAACCAGAGAATGACATACATGGCAGCATCACCCTGAACTCAATCGACAAATGGAAGAGTCAAAAACAGAATAAAATGTTAAGAACAGAGGATCTGGGAGGTCAGTCTATGACCAAAACAATTACAAAGTGAAAAATGGTAAACACAGAGGAACAGAGATCAAAGTGGTGGGAAGGTCAAGTAGATTACTGGATAAAATAGACTGTCTTAATTGGAGGGAAGAGTTAATGGAATATAAGGTAAACACAACAGTGGGGTAGTGGTGTGGGGTTTAGTTCGGGTGTTGGAGAGGGCGATACAAGATGGGGGAGGAGACAAAAGAACAAGATACATAGGGGAACACTGAGACAGGTTTGCATGTCCTAAGTGGGACAGAGGTACATAGTGACGCATGCTCAGTGCTGGAACAATAAGGCTCTAGGATACAGGGATCTAGGCATAGCTTAAAGAGGGGAACTAATACTAAAATGCTAGACTGTCATATGAATATTGGTTCCCCTGCCTACTATTGTAAAATAGACACTTGAGTGGGATAGAAAGGAATGCTGGGAAACATGATTGCAGAAAATTTGTAAGTCCATCTTCAGCCTATAACTGATTGGAATACCTAAAAGGGGTTCTAGAGCTTGCCCAGTGAAACAGTCCTCTTGCGGAGCCTTTGCAGAGTATTGGACATTGCATGGAATCCTGAGTCCCATCCAGAACCTTATGAGGTGGGACATTCCCACTAGAAAAGACAAGCAGGTCAGCCTGGAACAGCTACAATGACAGAAGATACATCTTCAAAGAAAGATCATCAGGAAAAACTCCAAACAAAAATGTCAGTATGACTGGCTACTACAAGAATAAGCAAGCTGTTCGCCAGGAAGACATCAAGGCTAGCAATCAAGTTCCTTCAGGACAAACTCCCCTCTAAGACTGAAACTCAAAGGGAACACACAAACAAGCATGTAAGCTTGCTGGCGACCACATTGGTCTACTGTTGAGTGGAAGAGGGGGAAAGGTAGCAATGAAGAAATGCGCTGAGTTCAACCACAGTCCATTGACTCCCGGTGACCTGGAGATGAGAAAGAGACGAGGAAGGGCTGGTTGATCCAAAGTGTGGTGAGACCTGAGGACGCTTGAGCCCATGGACGTGGATATAACCACAGAGGTCAAGAACTGATAGTGAAGCATCCAGTTGATATGAAGTGAGGGGAGATGCAAAAGAACACCCAAACTTGCAGATAGTGCCCATTTGATCTACCCTCAATGGCTTGATAATCAGAACTCGACTAGAGGAAGATTAAAAAAAAAAATTTTTTTTTGATAAAAGAAACAAGGGTAAATTGCTACAGTATGATGAACCTGACCTATACTCAGAGAAGTAGTAACGCTAAATACCAACAGAGAAGGAAGGAGTCTTCACATCAAGTATCAATGCTATCCCCTCTGTACACAGGGTAGATAGAGATGGGCAACTTAGACATTGGCTACCTAAAACGAGGAGCGATGAAGTGACTGGCTTATAAGGTTTCAAGAGGGAGTTTAGTTTAAGAGTATGGGGGGAAAGAAAGAGTCCCCACTGAATAGATTTCATCTTGCCTAGACAGGTCTGGTGAAAAGAGATGGCGATAAGATTCGTATGAGTCCATAGTGAATAATCATTATCATGACTAATTGCAACTGTCACAACTGTAAAGGTAGCAGTTTTGTTAACAAAAACAGGGGAGTGGTTAATCTTACAGTCCAGAAACAGAGGACCCTAGGACCATCAAAGGAGAAGCGCACAAGCAGAATGCGGCACCTTATCCAGAGAAGCAGGGATGCCAGAGATGGAGGCAGAGATGGGGGCATGGAGAGGGGGAGCAGCTGAGGACTCTAGATTCATGGGAAGAGAGGGACTAAGAGCTGGTGGCCAGGAGGCAGACTTGCAGAATGTACCCTTTGGAGATGTAAATTATTATATATGCCTGAGTGGGTTTTTTTTGTTAAAAGCTAAAGTGGCTAGAGAGAAATACTGTTAACTGATGGTACATGGAGGGGATTATAATCATTATAATGAAACAAGGTGTATGATTTGTTGAATATAAAACTGATGACCTGCCCTGTAAACTTTCACTCAACCCACAATAAAAACCTAAAAAAAAAAGAAAGAAATATCTGTGGCTACCAAAACAAAGAAGGTTCTTGCCCTATAGCTGACAGAGAGAGAGGACTGTCCTGTGGATGCAATGAATTCAGGCTTCAACGCTCCAGAATTGTAAGAAAACACATTTCTGTTCTGTAGTGACACCAATATTTAAGGTACTTTGTTACTGTAGTCCTAGGAAACTAAGACACATACATTCTCATCATTGACAAATCTGGGTCTTTAAATTTGGATATTTACAAACTGTTGATACTTACAAAGCATCCTACAAATAGGAGGAGATATCTGATAACATTTGAATGCCTAATAAAATGGCTCTAAAGATTCAGAAAACTATCATAATCTTCAAATCATTATTCTGTAATACAGAGGCCAGGTGCTATAATCCCCAGTTATACCTGATCAGTTTATATCTGTACATACACCACGGGGCTATAAAGGAAAGAGAACACAGAATACCCAAGATTTTTAAATATAAGAAATAATTCAATGATTAAAGGAAAAAATAAGTTAGATGAACGATGAGTGTGTGAGACTGGGTGGGTGAGGGTGCTATTTTCATCTATCAAAGACAATCAACAAACTGAAAATCAGACATCTTTTCAGTTAAGAATTCTAGCATTTCCCACATCTTTCAAATCCAAAATAAATCAACTGCGATAACAACTTCAGAAACAGTCATATTAGAGAATTAAGAAAATACCTGATGAATAATAATTCACTAGTGCCAGAGCTATCTCTAAACAACCTATTTTTAGAAATCCACATTTCTTTATATTCAGTGATCACTCTTGGTTCTTTCTTCTTCAAATGTTTTCTCATTCTTTGCTTCTTAATCACCTTCGTTTTACAATCTGGAATACTGACCACAACAAAATTCCCCAGTGAAAAAGATTTACTTTGAGCTCTATTGTCTAAAGAATGGGTATGGCCTCTGATGCCACTTCAGTGACTGGACATTTGTGCTCAAGGGGCAATTATACTGTGGTTCTAACTGAACCATTTCTGTCCATTAAAATCCACAGGTAAACTAAGCTACTAACCATTTTCCAGTTGGATTTGCCATCTGCTCTTCTAATTTCCGTAGCTGTGATGTGTAAGCCATTATTCGAGCATTGCAAACCATGAGATTCTTAACTGCATTCAAAATCTGGTCTTTTTGAGTGCTCAAAGAAAGGAGTTTCCATATTCCTTCTCGCATTCGAATTTCTAAGTCAATTTTTTCTTGAATGCTGCAGTCCTAGACAAAGAGACAAACAAATTAATATTTAAAATATAGTTAAATCCAAATTTATAACATTTTCTCTCCCCCCGCTTTTGCCCCCCTTCACCAAATCTATTATCATCGAACCAATTCTGACTTGTAACGATCCTATACAGGATTTTCAAGATTATAAATCTTTATGGGCACAGATAGCCTCATCTTTTTCCCACCGAGTCACAGGTGGGTTTGAACTGTGGGCTTTATAGTTAACAATCCAGTGCTTATCCTATAGCTTCACCACTAGATACCACTATAATTTTATATCATATTGAAAAGCAATGACATTTTCATACGTGATAGTATTAAAAATGTACCTATTGAAAAAGGTTTTTCACAAAACCTTTTATTTCTTACTTTACTAGGAAAACTTTATAATCTACTAGATAAACAAAGCAGAAACCAAGGTGAGAAATGCTACATATTTTTACCAGAACTACTGTCATTATTGGTGTGGTACTCTAGGACCAGCTCAAGGTGCACTGGTTTGGTGGCTCCTCAGAAACCCTATACTGGGTTTGTTATGAGTCAGAATCAACCTGATGGGACTTAAAAACAATTGTTATTAGGGAGCATGGTGGTCTGGAGGATAAGCACAAGACTGCGGACCACAAGGTTGGCAGTTCGCACTCATCAGCGGCTCCACAAGACAAAGATGAAGGTTTCTGCTCCCTCAAATACAGGGTCACTATGAATTGGAACATTTCTGCTCCCACAATCCAGGGTTACTATGAGTTGTAACCCACTCGACAGCACTTAACAATAGTAACAACAGCATTGTTGCTATTGGGTGCCATTGGGTTGCCATGTGACAGAGTAGAGCTGCCCCACATGGCCTTCTAAGCTGTAATTGTTACTGGAGCAGATCTCCAGGTCTTTCTTCTGCACAGATGCTGGATGGCCTCTATCCGCCAAACTTCTGGTCAGCAGCTGAGCACTTTCCCACTGCACCAGCAGCGATCCTTTACCCATAACTAAAGGTTGCAGTCTTGGTGGTCAGTGGCTAGAACTCATCAGCTGCATCATGGAAGAAACATGTGATACTCTGTTGCTATAGAGGCTTACAATCTTGGAAACTGTATGGAGCAATTCTACTCTGTCTCTGTGAGTCAAAACTGACTAGACATCAATGGAAATATATTACGGTTGCTGGTGTTAAGTGCTGTTGTATTGGCTCCAACTCATATATATATATAGATATAGTAGTTACATGCTGTGGAGTCGGTTCTGACTCATAGCGACCCTGTCCAGGGTTTCTGAGGCTGTAAATCTTTACAGGAGCAGAAAGCCACATCTTTCTCCCGCGGAACAGCTGGTAGTTTCGAACTGCTTATCTTAGGTCCACAGCCTGATTCGTAACCACTACGCTACCAGAGCTCCTATATATATACATTTATATATATACACACACGCACATATATATATATGGTGGCTGGTTGGTGGTGGTTAAGTGCCGTGGAGTCAGTTCCGACTCATAGCGACTCTGCATAGGGTTATTGAGGCTGTAAATCTTTACGGGAGCAGAAAGCCGCATCTTTCTCCCACAGAACTGCTGACCTTGAGGTCAGCAGCCTGACTCATAACCATCATGCTACCCAAGCTCTTTAGGAGGTGGTGTGATGCTACTTGTCATGGTAAACAGTGTAAATAAAATCTCCAAACAGTAGAGGAAAAGACCTGAGCTCAGAAAACATCAGAAGCCATGGCAACCTGGAACAGAGGTGTAGAATATCATTCTGGAGACATTTCTTTCAGTTTTAGGAGTCACTGTGAAATTACTAAAACATTTTAGTTTTCAAAGGCTTTTATTCTGTATAATTCTGTATAACTCTACATACATGTTTTATATGGTACATTAACATTTTATAAATGGAATAGACTATCCTGAATTCACAGTAGCATTTCAAAATTGATAAATCACAGTATATTTTCCACTATACTATAAGCATGTAATATTGCTTCCAGTAAGTCTATTTCTAACTGTAAAGTAGCTATCCTAAGCTTCTGTGATTAAAGACTAACAGTATCAGTTGCCTTTTAATTAAATCAAAATAGGAATTAAAAATGTAAATGGGATAATGAAAGTTTCCAATATTTAAAAGACAATGTCAAAAAAGAAAAAAGCTGCAAGAGAGCTAATATTCCATAAAGACTAAAAACAGAGAAACTGCAATAAATGATTTAACTTGACTATCCAAATTAATTAACTGTACTATTCAATGCAGAAAACAGATATGTTTAATTATCTTCTGTAATTACATCATGTAATTACCACATAAAAACCTTCTCATGTAGTGTTGTAACTCAAAACTGGTGTATTACATAAATGTAGTCATTTGTTGATCTTCCTTTGTTACACATCATTGAATTTCAACAACTCCATTTCATCTTTTTATGTCTTGTCAGCCCTAAAGTAAATTCTCCTTTAATGTAATTAGCAATTAATTGTAAGAATTATCTATGTGACCCATATGTCTATAGAAATAAACTCTGGCAGACTGGTTAGTATTGGAAAATACACATGGGGAGCAACTTGAAGCTGGAATGAATAGCTTTTACCCCACAACTCAAATATAAACAAATACCATCTGGTGCTACTAAATTCAAATTTGCTTGTGCAGTACTGCAGCGGAGCAGCACAGTGGTTTTCAAAGCTGGTTGCACATTAAATTACCTGGAGCAGAGAGGAAGGGCCTCATTACCTGAGATTATGCCCTACCCCAAACCAATTAGGACCTCTGGCAGTGGGAACTGAGCTTTAATTTATTTACTGATTTTAATATTTCTAGGATGATTCGATATACAACCAAGGTAAAAAACCACTGCTGGGCTGTTTCAAATTCCACAGCAATGTGAAAAGTTGCAACCACCTTAAAGAACCAGCAGGTGGTCACCGCCACACCTAGGAATCAGTTTCAACTTCTTGAGCTTCTAATTCAGCAAGGGAAACCATTAGTTCTCTCCATCACTTACTGAGAAGGCTGCATACAATTGAGGCTTGGGAAACAGTGGGACAAGGAAATGTAGGGAGAGGGGTTTGTTTTTGTTTATTTGTTTTTTAATCTTATTTATAAGACTAAGTTAATATTACAAAGAAATGAGTTGTGTGGCACTGTAAAATAAGCACTCCACCTCAAGGTTGGTTTGAACTGCAAGGTCAGCGGTTCAAACTCGCAAGCCACTCCTCGGAAACTTTATATACAGGGTTCACAATGAGTCAGAACCGACTTGATGGCGCTTAACAACAATAAAATATTAGTGAAAGAATTCTATCATTTAGGGTGGGGTCATAGGAGTCCTAGCCCTAGTGGCACAGTGATTCAAGTGTTCGATTACTGACTAAAAGTTCACTGGTTCAAACCCACGAGCTGCTCCGTGAGAGACACGTGGCGATTTGCTTCCATAAAGATTTACAGTCTTGGTAATCCTATGTTGTTGCTATATGCCGTGGAGTCGGTTCCAACTCATAGCTACTCTGTACAGGGTTTCCAAGGCTGTACATCTTTATGGGAGCAGAAAGCCTCATCTTTCTTCCGCGGACCAGCTGGTAGTTCAAACTGCTGACCTTGCGGTTCACAGCCCGATTCATAACCTCTACGCTATACAAGGCAGTTCTACTCTGTCTTACATGATCTCTATGAGTAGGAATCAGCACAATGACAGCGGATTTGGTTTTAGTTTGAAGCAAAGGCCAGTAAACTATGGCTTGTCCTCTGCCTGTTATTTGTAAATCAACTTGCCTTGGGACACAGATAAACCCATTAAAATTGCCTATGGCTGGTGCTATAGGATAGGCACTGGACTGCTAACTGCAAGGTCAGCAGTTCAAACCCACCAGCTACTCCTTGGAAACCCGATGAATCGGAACAGACTCAAAGGCACTTAATAACACAACAGTGGCTATTTTCAAGCTACAGTAGCAGAACTGAGTAATTTCAACACAGAAACTGGAAGATCCACAAAGCAGAAAATATACTACCTTATTACAGAAATTGTTTGCTGATCCCATAGCCCAGCCAAATTAACATACATAGTAAACTACAAGCCTATGTCCCCTGCAGATGCAGGTCTCAGGCCAATGTGAATACAGTGAATCTGGGAGAGCTGCCACAAGTGAATGAATGGATTTAGTATGCGGCTGTTAAGGGCTGTAGAGTCGGTTCCAACTCAGAGCAACCTATGTAGGCCAATAAACTTTTGAACCCCCCTCATGTGTACAGCTCTGAAGGAAATCAATGAAATCTAAAGGGTTGTTGTTTTCCATGAAGTTTCTTTAAATACCCTTTCAGGTCAATTCGGACTAGCTCTAGTACAGAAAAGCTTTAGGAAGCAAAGGGAGGTGTCTTCCATCAAGAATGGTGTCTGGTGCTGCTCACAGTGACACCCAGATGTAGTGAGCCCAGTGATGACGCCCACAGACCTCTAAGAGGGGCAGTAGGGAGCCCAGCCATCATGCAGCTGCCTCAGCCTGAATGGACTCACAGTAAAAGTCAAGAAGATCTGTTGTTGTTGTGTTGTTGTGTTGTTGTGAAGTGCCGTCGAGTCAGTTCTGACTCACAACGACCTTGTATAGGGTTTCCGAGGAGCAGCTGATAAACTTGAACTGCCAACCTTGCAGTTCAAACGGCTTTGCAGTTTGGCACATTAACCCACAGCGCCACAAGAAGAATTGTTGTTGTTGTCAGGTGCCATCTAGTTGGAACTGACTCATAGTGACCCCAAGCACAGCAGAACGAAACAATGTCCGACCCTGGGCCAACCTCACTACTGCTGCCACACTCGAAGAATTAGGGTCCATGAAATAGCAGGTTTATATCCTCTGAGAAGTATTTGATTTTAAGACTCTAGAAAAAGCCATTTACATGGAGGATGATATTTTGATTAAGGGCTTGCTTGTAACCAAGTCAAATCTAATCATATGCCATTGTCCTGATCTTGCAGGTATTCACCCCAGATTGACAAACACAGACAATCCCAAGGATAAGAAGTAACTATTTTAGACAACCCTGTGTCCACAAATTTCATAACTTAGATAAAATGGACAAATTTTTTGAAAGAATCTACCAAAAGTCACACAAGAAAAAAACAGATCAACTAATCAGGCCTGTATCTTTTAAAGGAATTGAATCAACAATTCGTAACCTTACAACACAGAAAGCATGAGGTACGGATAATTTCACTGGTGAACTCTGCCAAACATTTAAGGAAGAAATTATACCAATTCTCTATAATCTTTTTCAGAAAATTACATGAGGGGATGCTTCCTAACTCATTTTATGAGCTCATTACCCTAATACTAGAATCAAAGGCATAGTAAGAAAGGAAAATTATAGACAAATACCTCTAATTAACATAGATGCAAAAATTCTCAACAAAATATTAACAAACCAAATCCTAGCATATAGAAAAATAGCATAGTGAAGATAGCTGACCTTCCCTAATTTACTAAGGGAAGAGAAAATCACCATCAACATCAGCCCAAGGCTGTAACATATAGGTGGAGGTCACCCTTCAACCCTTTTACCCACTGTGACACCAGCTGTCCGTCCCACAACACTGTATTTCTCTGCTGACTTCAATTATTCAGTGGACTCAGGTCAAACTCCTACTTATAAGGTTTATTAGTAAATTACCAGGCTACAATGCAGGACCAGGAACCACTGAGAATATAGTTCTTCTTCCCCTTTGTGCCCACAGGCAGGCCACTCTCTGGTCATCAGACTTGCTCCGACACTGCTCGGACAATTGTTACATAGCTCTTAAGCTACGCCAATAAATGTAAGTAAGGGGTATCGCACTTTGTCAGTTAAGCCTTGGTTCAGACACTCAGCTCTCTCGCTCTGTGGGTTGGCAAGCCTATCTCTGCTGTCAAATGCCCAGAGGCACCCCACTCTACCAGGAAGTTTCCTGTCCAAAGGTGGCCAGCGCTCTAGTTCAATGGGTCAACATAACTCCTGTGCTATCTCTCAGGG